AATGTCATCTATGTGATTAATAATATTATAGACAGTGGAAAGATGAAATGGTTTAATTTCACCGTCTGCTAAAATACCATTTGGCTGAAAATTATATGTTAAATGGAAGAGATGGTATTGTAATGATCATGTAGTTATTCTAACTGGATCTGTTTTCATACAGCGAGTTCGATTCTCACGTGACACGGTGTCCCCGGGACTGTGGTGAGATCTGTTAATGTTTATAACCTTGAAGAATCTGGAGAGCGAAATCACAAGAAAGAAGAAAATGACTAAATATGGGGAAGAGAAGAAGAGGAAGAATAAAGAAAGAATAAGAAAAGGAAGGAAAAAGAAGACAAGGAAAAAGAAAGAAAGGAGGCGAAGGAAAAGTAAGAATAGAAGAATAAGAAAAAGAAAGAAAAAGAGAAGAGGAAGGAAAAAGAGGAAGAAGAAAAATTAAAAGAAGAAGCAGAGAAGAAAAGGGGAAAGAAAAAGAAAAAGAAAAGGGAAAAGAAGATGAAAAAGAAAAAGAGAAAGAAAAGGGAAAAGAAAAAGAAAAAGATAAAGATAAGGGAAAAGAAAAAGAAATAGAAAAAGAGAAAGAAAAGGGAAAAAATAAAAAAAGAAAAAGAAAAGGGAAAAGAAAAAGAGAAAGAAAAGGGGAAAGAAAAAGAAAAAGAAAAAGAAAAGGGGAAAGAAAAAGAAAAAGAAAAAAGGAAAAGAAAAAGAAAAAGAAAAGGGAAAGGAAAAAGAGAAAGAAAAGGGGAAAGAAAATGAAAAAGAAAAAGAAAAGGGAAAAGAAAACGAAAAAGAGAAAGAAAAGGGGAAAGAAAAAGAAAAGGAAAAGGGAAAAGAAAAAGAAAAAGAGAAAGAAAAAGAAAAGGAAAAGGAAAAGGGAAAAGAAAAAGAAAAAGAGAAAGAAAAAGAAAAGGAAAAGGAAAAGGGAAAAGAAAAAAAAAGAAAAAGAGAAAGAAAAGGGAAAAAGAGAAAAGAAGGAAAAGAACGGAATTAGAGAAGAAGAGGCAAAAGCGAAAGAAAAAGAAATGGAAATCAGAAGTAAACAAGAAAAAGAAAGCAAAAAAAAAAAGAGGAAAAAGGAGGAAAAGAAGAAGAAAAGGAGAAGCGGAAGAGAAAAAAAAAAGAAATCGAAAAATAAGAAATAGAAATAAAATAAGAAAGAAAGAAGAGGAAACGCAGAAATAAAAGTAAAAGAACGATAAAAATGAAGAAGAAGAAAAAGAAGAAGAAGAAGAAGAAGAAGAAGAAGAAGAATGAGGAGGAGGAGGAGGAGGAGGAGGAGATGAAGTAGAGGAGGAGGGGAGAAGAAAAGACGATAATGATGGATTAAAACCGGAGGAGTTGATATTTATATAAGAATTATTTATAAATTGATCATTTTTCTGGACACACCCTTGTCTTAAAATTCGGTTTTCTCTATTTTTCTGTCATATTTCTCTCTCTCTCTCTGTCTCTCTGTCTCTCTCCCTCTCTCACACACACACAGGTACGTACATGCATGAACACATAAACACACATACATATGTACACATATACACACATGCACATAGACGCAAAAATAGACCCATACAAATATGAAATCTTATATACGTACACACACACATATATATATACATACGCAAGTATATATGCACACTATGAGACACATACGCATAAATACGCATACACCTACGATATCAGCGACACAAACGTACACACATTTTTTTTAAATCATCTCATCCCAAGCAAGGTAATAAATCCACTAAGACGCAAGGGTGTTACTGAGTATTAAGAATATAAGAAAAACAAAACGTTAGGTCGATTTTGCACTCAATTTTAAACTTGGGGTTTGACTTGATAAATAAAAACGCAAAATCTTTTTTCCAAATTTTTGCCGTTTTTTGAGGAAACAAGTTTAAAGATTAAGTTTAGGTTTCAAATCGTAGCGTTGGAATTTCATTCCGGTGATCAGTGAAAGACTTATAGCACAGAGGAGTGCCAGAGAAAAGCAATGATAACAACAAAGTTGCAATATGAGCTCTGGTAAAAACATGCAATGATAACAGCAAAATTGCAATGTACCGGACAGTATTCGGAATATACTTGTTGACAACACTAATATAATAGCATCATCTACATGCAAAAAAAAAAAAGGCTAAAAATAATGGAAGCCTTATTAATAAAAACAAAAAAACAACACTTAATAATATTAACTTTGAACATGGACATAATATCTTGACCGTGTTTTGAAAAATGAAAACGTTTTATAAAACATACATACAAAAAACTATTTCTTATTTAACAGTTAAAATATTTAATCCTTAAAAATGGCTAAATGTATAGCCGAAAGCGCTCGGATAAGAAGAACATTTGGACAGTTTTTATATAATTTATCATCCGAATAGAAAATTTTTTTTTAGATCGCATGAGAAATTGTATAAAAAACTAAATAAAAGCACGTAGTATGTCGTATTCAATGAAATGTGCATGAAAAAAGGATTGCTGCCTAAATACACACACACACACGCACACACAAACACACACACACACACACATATATATATATATAATATGTAAATTTTATATATGTATGCCAATGAAATCTATAAAATAGTTTTTTTTTATCGGCGAAAGTTTGTAGCGGACCGTTGGGTGATGATGAGTATGTATTGTAGAAGAAGACATGTGGGTAGAATTTTCCTGCTAGCCGGTCCAACTACATGAGAAAGTTGGACTTTAATTAAGTTTACAGAAAGCAAAGAAAACAAACAAGACCGATAAATATATGTAAGCAAATATATGTATTAATAACAAGAAAGGTTACAAGTTACATGGACAGTTACATGGACAGAGTGCGTGGTGAATATTATGTGTGTGTTGTTGTGGTGAGTGTTCGTACGTACGTGTATTGTTCTTAGCGTATTCCCAGCATTTGGGAAACGCTGTATCTGTGAGAGCTCACATCTGCGAGGTGGTATAAGGCCGAAGGCCTGAGGAAAAAAAGAGGTCGAGGCGAAGGGTTAGCCAGTATTTATAGCCAGGAGAGAGAGACCCCTGGTGAAGGGTTAAGGAGTTGAGGAGGAGCTAACTCCGACAAGTTAAGACCGAATTAAACCGTTGGTTTGTGAAGTTGTTGATAGAGTAAGCGTGTGTTCTATCCTTGGGCTGGAGTAAAGACTTACACTCATTGGAAATAATGGAACAATAACTGAGTAAGACTAAAATAAGAACGAGACGTGATATCCCGAGACTTGGGCAGGTGGAAAGGGAACAATCTCCCCACGTAGATTTAATAAAGGGTTCACTTTGAAATTCACTTAAAGTTACCCGGACCAATAAGTATCTGGAGAATAACAGATAAAAACGTTGTAATAATAACAACAAAGATAAGGAGAATCGTCTGAAAGCATATAATGTCGTATATAAATACTGTCGTTTTGATTGTTGCAATCACAGCTAATTCTGAAACGATTTATAATTTACTCTGGAGGTCGACTGAACTCACGACCCCGTAACAAGTAGATGAATTGAAGCAACGATTTTATTCTCGATGTTATTACTGCTATAAAACTGACAGGTCTCTTTCTCTCCATTACTCGTTCAATGATGATTGGCTGGAGATGATTCGTTAAAAAAAATCACATCTCATTTCATTATAATCCGTGAATAATCGTCAACTACATGTGAATCAACTTAGGACAACGAAAAGTAGTGATTCAAAGAAGGTAGGGTGTGGTGACTGACTCAGTTTACAACGTGGCAAAGAAATTTGGCATGAACAAAATAGGAAACATCTTTTTTTTTTAAACCAAAGATTAAATATCATTTGAGGAAATACATAATCCATCCTAAGGATGTTAAAAACACGTTTTTATTTGAAACAATTTTCGCAGTAGATTTTATCCATTTTGAGGTTTATTCCAAAAGTAGAAAGGAAAAAAAAAGATTTATTTTCAGTTCTACAATGCAGACGAAAAGAATAAGCATTGTTCGTATTAATTCGAAATAATCTTTCAACCAAGTGTCTTTCAATTGATTCCTCAACATAGAAAATCCTTTTTTACCAGATTTGACATTTATTTTCTCTTAGATAATACATTAATATGGTAAATCCATTCTCAATGCGTTTATATATGAAAATAATTTACAATGCATTTCTATAATAAAATAAATTGATTACATTACTTAGAAGAAAACTTTCACAATTTATATAAGAAAATAATTTGCCATATATTTCTATATTAAAATAAATTACGTTAATAGAAAAAAATTTCACAATCAATTTATATAAGAAAATAATATACAATGTATTTCTATAATAAAATAAACTGATTACATTAATAGAGGAAAACTTTCACAATCAATTTATATAAGAAAATAATGTACAATGTATTTCTATAATAAAATAAACTGATTACATTAATAGAGGAAAACTTTCACAATCAATTTATATAAGTAAATAATTTACAATGTATTTCTATAATAAAATAAATTTACTTACTTTAATATAGAAACATTTACAGTATTTCTATAATAAATCAATTTGCATTGTATTTCTACATGAAAATTATTTTTATAACATTAATATAGTAAAACGTTTCCAATGTTTTTTATATAATAAATTAATTTGCGATATAATTCTATATTAAAATAAATTTAATTACATTAACACAGAAAAAGCACACACAATGTATTTGCATAATGGCGATTTTCTAAGCGTAGCTTTCATATGGTACAAGGCCGAAAGGAAGGGGTACCCAATGAGGATCGAACTCACTGTTCTGTCGTAATTGATCTAGCGAAAGAAGCTTGCTAACCATTACACCACGTTGAAGTAGATATTTACTTCCCCCCCTCCCACTGAGTCAGGTTGTGACACAAGGTCGTTTTTTTAACGTGGGGACATGAGTGTTTCCACACGGGGCGCTGGTCTAAAGCTGGTCTTAGCTTGTCCATGCTGGTCAGAGCTCGTCTAAGCTAATCATAGCCGTGATACCCCCTGACCCTGTGCCAGGGAAGTAGATATTTACCCCCCCCTCCCACTGAGTCAGGTTGTGACACAAGGTCAGTTTTTAACGCGGGGACCGGAGTGTTTTTACTCGGACCGCTGGTCTAAGCTGGTCTTAGCTAGTCATAGCTTGTCCAAGCTGATCAGAGCTGGTCTAAGCTAGTCATACCTGATCTTGGCTTGTCATAGCTGGTCCAAACTGGTCAGAGTCGGTCCAAGCTAGTCGTAGCCGTGATACCACCATCACAGAGACGAATCCCTGGGCCAGGTAAGTATCAACCTCACGTCAAAGTCATCCTAATGTATTTCTATAATGAATCGCATTGTATTACCAGATTGAAATAAATTTATTTACATTTTCATAGAAAACCATTTGCAACTTATTTGCATAATAATTTAAATGCATGTCGATATAAAAAGGAATTTTTTTACATTAATATAGAAAATCGTTAAACATTTGAAACTAAATTTCACTGTACTTATAAATTAAAATAAGCCTTATTACATAAAAAGGCATTTACATCGTAAAATAATTAACAACGAATTTCTACCGAAAAATCATTTCAAATACATTTCTGCAGTACACTTCAATTGTATATTTCTATAATAAATATAAGTTTTTACTTTGTAAGGTTTGCACTATTTTCCTTTCACTGACAATCCCATTTTAAAATTAAATCTTGCCTATTGTAACAAAGTAAAAGTAATTTAGATGCGAATTTAATATAATCTTGTGTATAATCAAATTTTCCCGACCCCCAGAAATAATTAATTAGAGTTGGATGACAGGATACAATGTGGGAAAATACGTTTTTCTTTGGTTTTAGCGAATTTTATTGTCACTTCTTTATCTGAATGATACTATTTATAGCCATGATTTAACGCTGATAACTCACATTTTAGACTTTTATCTATCTATTGCAGTCTACTCATTTCTATCTATCCTTCATATCTATCTATCTATCTATCTATCTATCTATCTATCTGAGCCTATTCATATCTATCTATCTATCTATCTATCTATCTATCTATCTATCTATCTATCTCTTTTTGTTCGTATCTATCTATTTCAGTTTGTACATATCTATCTATCTATCTATCTATCTATCTATCTATCTATCTATTTCAGTCTGTTCATATCTATCTATCTATCTATCTATCTATCTATCTATCTATCTATCTATCTCACTCTATTCATATGTATCTATCTATCTATCTATCTATCTATCTATCTATCTATCTATCTATCTATCTATCTATCTATCTGAGTTTCTTCATTAACTATCTATCTATCTATCTATCTATCTCCTTTTGTTCGTATCTATCTATGTCAGTTTGTACATATCTATCTATCTATCTATCTATCTATCTATCTATCTATCTATCTATCTATCTATCTATCTATTTCAGTCTGTTCATATCTATTCATCTATCTATCTATCTATCTATCTATCTATCTATCTATCTATCTATCTATCTCATTTGTTCGCATCTATCTATTTCAGTTTGTACATATCTATCTATATCTATCTATCTATCTATCTATCTATCTATCTATCTATCTATTTCAGTCTGTTCATATCCATTCATCATCTATCTATCATCTATCTATCTATTTCAGTCTGTTCATATCTATTCTATCTATCTATCTATCTATCTATCTATCTATCTATCTATTTCAGTCTGTTCATATCTATCTATCCATCTATCTATCTATCTATCTATCTATCTATCTATCTCACTCTATTCATATGTATGTATGTATGTATGTATCTATCTATCTATCTGAGTTTCTTCATTATCTATCTATCTATCTATCTATCTATCTATCTATCTATCTATCTATCTATCTATCTATCTATTTCAGTCTGTTCATATCTATCTATCTATCTATCTATCTATCTATCTATCTATCTCACTCTATTCATATGTATGTATGTATGTATGTATGTATGTATGTATGTATCTATCTATCTATCTATCTATCTATCTATCTATCTGAGTTTCTTCATTATCTATCTATCTATCTATCTCACTCTATTCATATGTATGTATGTATGTATGTATGTATGTATGTATCTATCTATCTATCTATCTATCTATCTATCTATCTATCTCCTTTTGTTCATATCTATCTATCTATCTATCTATCTATCTATCTATCTATCTATCTATCTATCTATCTATCTATCTATCTACTCCCTGTTTATATCTATCTATCTATCTATCTATCTATCTATCTATCTATCTATCATGACATCAAGTGCAATCAGTTAATGCGGTATTGAAAAGAAAGATCATCTGCTTTTAAATCTACCGATTTTCCTATCGTTCTTTTTTTATGTGCAGGACGGAGACGATCATGACACTCCACAACTTCCTGTCCCTTTTAGCTCTTAATAAATTTTGTCTTTTTACTACTTATCCTAAACCCTGTCCTACCATCCATTTACTCAGGCGCATCAAGGGGGGGGTGATGCGTTGTTTTCCTCTGTATTTCTTTCCCTCAATCTGTCCTGTGTGTATCAGATTTTCCAAGCCCTCCTTCCTCCTTATGTTCCGCAAAATATTTCAGCTGTCTCTGCCTGATGTCATGCATAAGTTTCCTTTTTGCTTCCATTTTCTCTAAACATCGTTGTTTCTCACATGTTCGGCCCATGGTATCCTCAGCATCCTTCTGTAGAACCACATTTCTGTTGCTTCAAGTCTCTTCTCAATTTTGGGTGAGATTGTTCAGCATTCAGTGCCATAGATGAGGACAGATATCACGTAACAGTTCAGTACTTATTCTTACTGTCTTCGAGTAAAGATCTTTCATTTTGTTTTCAGGAATTTTTTTTTCTTTTAACTTCTAGAATGGTTTTCTTTGATCATTTTTACTCATAAACTATTCCATTTACACAATTTACATTGTTCAGACTGTTGGCCTAATAGTGTCACATTTACAACGTTTCGGCCGTTGTACGCTCGGGCTTTCTTCAGGTGACATTTGTTTGAACTTCGCACCGAACCCAAAATAGTCAATCTGAATGTTGGCGTTTCTGCAGATTGGTCCAATAACGTTTGTGTAAAAAATTGGATTTTCTTCGAATGGAGCTACCTTCTTCAAATTAAGTTTTGTACTTGGTGTCACCTTAGAAGGTCAAATAGAGTCGTGATATTTGTCATAGAAGGTGACCTCAAAGCTAACCAGTGTAGAATCAAGTCTCAAAATATGTCGGTTAGTGCATCAACAGAAACAGGAAGGGGACCTAGTTGATCTTAGGATATATGTATAAAAAATATATATTTTAAATCAGTTAATTTATGATATTTATGCTCTGTAAATTTACACTGAGCACTGTTTTGTAAAAATAAGAATAAAAAATATCAATAAGAACACCGGATTATATATCTTACTGTTCTTTCTTATATATATATGTAAGTCAGTCGGATAGCAGGTAGTTACATAAATACCCAACGTAGGGGAAAAATGAGAATTTTCCACATATTTGATGAAAGAACCAAGACTACTTATCCTTGATTCAGCCGAAGTTAATTTGACCGTATCCAGGAGTGAATAAAGAATTATTTTTTACGTATGAA